GGGCCGCTCTGCGCCCACGTGCTTAAGTGTTGTTGAGATGGCCTTAATTTATGGCGGCGCTCACTGTAAACACGCCAGGAAGCGGCACCATGGCGACTGGACTGAAAAACAATCACAATGCGCGGGGACGGTATTTATAAGGTCTGCCTGGCCTGCCGCGTGCGTGTCTGTTTGTCTGTCTGTGTGCGAGAGTGAGAGTGTGAGTGTATGTCTCTGAGTGATAGTGTGTCAGTGTGTCTGGTTGTGTGTGTTAAGTGACTGTGAATTTGAGCGTGCGTGTAGGAGAGCGAGTGTCCGTAAGTGTGTGTGTGTGTGTGTGTGTGTGTGTGTGTGTGTGTGTGTGGGTGTGTGTGTGTGTGTGTGTGTGTGTGCATATGAGTGAGAGAGAGGCTGAATGCGCAAATGTGTATGTTTGTGTGTGTGCGTGTGCGTGTGTGTGTGAGAGAGTGTGAACGTAAGTACAAATGTGTGAGAATGTATGTTTGAGAGTGAATCTGGAGTGCCTTTGTGTTACTGTGTGTGAAAATGTGTGAGAGCATGCGAAAGCGTGTGTGTGTGTGTGTGTGTGTGTGTGTGTGGTGAGACCATGTGAGTGTGAACCTAAGTGCAAATGTGTAAGAATGAATCTGGATGTGTGCCTTTGTGATACTGTGTGAAAATGTTTGAAAGCATGCAAAAGCGTGTGAGTGTGTGTCTGAGTGTGAATGTAAGTGCAAATGTGTGAGAGTGTATGTGTGAGAGTGAATTTGGATGTGTACATTTGTGATACTGTGTGAAAATGTGTGAGAGCATGGCAAAGCGTGTGCGTGCGTGCGTGCGCGCGTGTGTGGAGTGAAACTGTGCAAGTGTGAATCTAAGTGCAAATGTATGAGAGTGTATGTGTGAGAGTGAATCTGGATGTGTGCCTTTGTGATTCTGTGTGTGTGTGAAAAGATGAAAATAGGAGAGTCTGCGAGGGCGTGTGTGGAGCGTGAGACAGTGTATGTGTGAGTACATTTGCACAAGAGGGTGAGGGTGTACCCATGAGAATGTGTGTGTGTGTGTGTGTGTGTGTGTGTGTGTGTGTGTGTGTGTGTGTGTGTGTGTGTCCAGATTGGCAGGTGCACATTGGGCAAATGTGCGTGTTTACACGCATGCTTGCGTGTATCCCTGGAAAGTGTCAACAGAAAATGTTAACGAGCATCCGTAATTCCGCACGCTCAAAATGCCTTTTTTTTTTTTTTTGGCCCAACGACCCAATCAGCATCATCTTTTTATGATTCTGCTTCTTCCGATTATTATTACAACACACCATGTGTCTGTAAATACACTTTGAAATTGAATGTAAAGATGTATGCACAAAGTATTTAAGAACAAAAAATGTAATAAAACAACAGAAATCTGAAACAACTTGTACATTCGTTTAATTTAATTCATTAATCCATTTTGGAATCGTAAACAAGAAATGTCCTTTAAAAACAAAATAAAAGTCTTTCATAGACTTCTGTTGATAAATAATTAAATGATTGTTTTGTTTTTTTTTGTTATCAGTCAAACTTCAAACGAAAAATGAAAAAGGCTGACTTGCTCGTAAAAAGACATTTTTGAAATCGGCGTCAAAATTGCATTCAGAGATGCATCAAGCCATCCCTGATTTCAATTTGCTTTTTACCACTGTAATAATGAGTCGAATATTAATTAAGTTGTATGAACATGAATACATTCATATTTTGCATAGTAGGTTCATTTATCCAATTGATCTCCTTGATAAAAAAGGTGGCACAGCTTTGGATGGGCAGTGTGAAAGGGGTGATGTCGGGAAATCTGGAATTTCCTGCCTATTTTCTGTTTCTTGTTTTCTGTAGAAACAGCAGCAGCAGTGACAAAGTTAACCCAACAATTTTTCTACCTTCTGTGGTCGTATCGGAAACGGGACGCAGCGTGTGTTAAGGTATTTCACCAAACTGGCACAGGGGTATGAGTTTTAATATTTATCCTGCCCTGTCGTGTTGAAAGCAGTCGTTGTGGCAGCTTAGCGGGGTTTTGTCGAAAAAGTGGAACTTGCATTTTCAGGCTCTGATGTGCCAATTTTGCAGAAACTACGTAAAAGGGGCTGAAATTCATTTCAGTATGTGCACCCCTTTTCAAATTGCCTCTAAAATTGTGGTGTAATTAATTCTGTGTAAAAAGGCGGATCAAAGTGCGTGAAAGGGGCTTTATTTTCAGTGATTGTAGAGCCACGTGAGCTTGGAATGAAATGCTTTCACACACGGACACAAATGCTGTCATGCGAGTGTCAGCGACAAAGCTGAAAGCGTCGCTGACATTTATCTGCCGTATTGTTTGGGGCAGGCAGCCAATTAGGGGGGGTGGAGGGTGGTGGGGGGGGAGACCACCCGCCGCTGACATTTTAACCAGCAATGCGCCGTAAGAAAACATCTCACGGCACGAAAACAATAGCGACAGCCTTTTTCACGCAGTTTGTGAAAAAGTTTCTACCATCAGAGTTGTAAATGAAGAGCAGGTTTTGATCCACCTGTGCCTTTCACAGAGAAACTAGCAAAAAAGTCGGCGACGGCTTCTACAGACAGGGAAGACCCTTCCACACGAACGTTTCACAGAACTGAAGAGGATTTTTTTTTTTTTTTACACGGAGCCTTTCTTATACTATTTGGCGTCCAACTTGACACCACATCCCGACATGGCGGCATTCACTTCACACGCAGGCATCACTCTCGCTCAGCTGCAGCTCCGATTACTACCAGTGATGGCATAAAATTATCTGGTCAACTTCTATTTTGTGTCTGTACCTTTGATACGCAGCAGCGAGCCGTTTGGCTATCGGTTAGCATGTAGCTTGTTTCGGCCATGCCGTGATGCAAAATGCCCATGTTGCACCTTCTCATGCAAATAAATAATTGATCGGATTGAGGGGAGCTCCCGGGAAAACAAATACTTTTTTTTTTCTTAGTCATGTCAGCAAACAAACATAACACCCCCCTTTCACCCTCCTCCTCCTCCTCCTACTTCCTCTCCATCTTCCTGGGAGGGAGGGGGGCATGGGTAGGTGGAGGGGGGCACTCGAGCACTTGAGCCTCTGGATCGCTTAGTCAGCATTTTGGTGGGGGAGCACTTAGCGTTTCATATTTTTTGTTAGTGTTGTCATTTTTTGGGGGGGATTTGTTTTTTTTCACCTTTTCTTAGGTGCACTGACACAGGGGCTACGTGTGCCCTCGCTCTGTTGTTGTTTGCGCCCGTGCGTTTCGCGCTCAACAGTTGCTTGTCTGCTTCCTGTTTGCGGCGTCCATATGCACATTGTCATCATCACCAGAGCCCCTTTTGCGCAAAGATCTTGAATCACAAGATATGGCATTTATCTTCCTGTGCCTTTCACACAGCCAACGCAGCATATGCTGCTCCTGTGCGCTTCTAATGGTCAAGAATAAGAGGGGATCAGTGGCACTTGCTTTCACAGGTAGAGACAAGTGGGTGTTAAACCTCACGCTACTGTTGCAGAAGTGCGGGATTCCCCTTACATACACACTCAGCATCCTGTCTCTGTTGCGACTGATTCTATCTCCGAATAAGGTCATTTACTGGGTCAGCTTTGTCTGCTGTATTTCTTGTCATTGTTATTTAAACTCAGTAGTGTCATGGAAATCAAGTCGAATAATGATGTCTTTCATAAAACCCCTTTCACACAGTCTTTTTACATCAGGGTCTGCACATCACAACAGCTGCAGCTGTTGTGATTATGTATAACGGAAGATCCAGAATTACCACCCATCCTCCCATTTCTTTGGGTGAAAAAAAAGTTAGCTTTTCCAGGCTGGGTAAAATGGCATCGTCCTTTTTTTGAAGCCCCTTTCACGCAACGTTTTCACAAAGTTGGCATACGAGTGCCTTCACAAAAGAGCAAAAGCGGAATATTGCGGCCACCGCCGCTTTCAGCCCAAGCGGGCTGGAGAAGTGAGTGTTAAAACACCCCCATCCTGTCCCGCAATCCCCTTTCACACAGGCTGCGTTCCTCTCTCCTTGCTCACACGAGCTCCCCTACTTGAGTATTTAGCGCGTTCATCATTCACGGGTGATTGAATCAACCCTGCACACGTGCTGGTTAATGTCTCGTTATCCGGCAGGAATATTTTCGCGGGGTAACGTGAGAGCGGCTTATGGCTGCTGACAGCAAAATGGCGATAAAAGCCTGCCTCGCCCCCTTCCTCGCCGGCGTCCATTAAGCAATCAGGTAGCCAAATTGCATTTGCGAAACTTTGTTGTTAAACCTCACGGCCACATGTCAGCTTCAAAAGTCAATACTCGACGGATAAAATTGCAGCAATACAAAATATGTACAGCACATATGATACACTCGAAAAATGCTTTGATGAAAAGTAAACCAAATTACACTCGTACTTTCGTATTCTTTTAGATTTAATAATTGGAATAAAATTTTTAATTTGTAATAATTTTGATTACATTTTCTCATCGACGCTGATATTTTCATGATTTAAAATTGTTCATTTTTCTATCATTACTATTATTTAATTTTGCTTTTTTCTTATCGGGTTTATTTGAAATTTCCTTGATGATTTCATATTTTACTTTCTTCTTAATTGTATTGTTGATTTGATTGTTGTCTTATGGTTGCTGCTTGTTTTCAATGTTTTCCTTTTACTTTGTCAAACTTTTCGTGCGCTTGAGGCTGCCGCCAGCTGGGCCGCAATGCAAACTTTCCACCGCGGCAAAACGGCCTTCCAGCAAGCGTCACGCGGAGGATCAAAAAGTGTCGGAATGAAAGGGGGAAAAGAAAAAAAAAAACCTCTCAGCTGCTGTCTTGTTGTTTACATGAACGCCAGCGAGCCGCCAAGTGGACCACGTAATGGAAGCAAAATTTATGCCATGTTTTAGTCTCCACCTGAAGTGGCCATTACTTCATTCAAGCACTTTTCACAACGACAAAGACTCTTTGGATTATTATTATTATTATTATTGTGTCATTGTTGTTATCTTGTGTGTTTCAGCTTTCTGCTGGTGTTCAGCTGCTTGGTGCTGTCTGTCTTCTCCACCATCCCCGAACACCAGGGGGTTGCCAACCAGGGTCTCTTCATACTGGTAACACACACACACACGCACACGCACACACATGCACACGCACACACATTAAGGTTTCCTAGTGTACTTGAAAAATAAATTCTTTATTTTCCAATATATCCTTGAAACAAAAGTTATGTGTGGTTGGAATGTGAAATAACCTTAAAAAAAATGAAATTATTCTTTTGACAATAACAATAAAATATCATTCTTTATTTTGGAATTGAAATATAATCAGTTCTTCTCCCAGAAGAGCCTGTTCGTTGTGAAAAAAAAAAATCAAATAAAAATCAAGATTTCGTTACATTATACAGTCATCGGATCTTTTTCTTGAAACAAAAGTTATGTGTGGTTGGAATGTGAAATAACCTTAAAAAAAATGAAATTATTCTTTTGACAATAACAATAAAATATCATTCTTTATTTTGGAATTGAAATATAATCAGTTCTTCTCCCAGAAGAGCCTGTTCGTTGTGAAAAAAAAAAATCAAATAAAAATCAAGATTTCGTTACATTATACAGTCATCGGATCTTTTAAAAATGAAATTGTATTTTTTCGAGATATACATCCATATTTCGATATGACTCCTGGTTAAGGAGAGCCTGTTCGTTGTGAAAAAAAAAATAAAATAAAAATCAAGATTTCGTGACAGAATACAGTCATCGGATCTTTGAAAAATGAAATTGTATTTTTTCGAAATATACATCCATATTTCGATATGACTCCTGGTTAAGCACAGTTGCAAGATTAAAAGCTTAGCATCTGCAGTGGAAACTGCTTGAAAAAGCTTGAAGTTAACCTTAAAAAAAGGTGCGTGACGCTTGCGCACGCACACACACACACACACACACACAGTCAAGCACGGTGATTGTTTGCAGAGCGCCGACTAAGCAGCGCGGGGGATTCAGGTGCTGTCCAGAGCAGGAAATCTCAGCCACCGTCCACTAATCCTAATAGCCATCCCATAATAATCCTCCCTACCGGCTGCCGTGACGTGGCCTCTTAATGGCCGACGGCCTTCAATCCCCTCTCGAGCTCCTCCCACCTCGCCATTCATCACTTTCGTCCACGCCTCGTTTTCCCGCCGCATCAAGGGCCGAAGCGTCAGGTGTGTGAAAATAAGACGATAAATCGTAATAGTATCCATTCCGCGGTTAAAATCCCCATTTAAAGCGCCGCAGGGTGAGAGCTACATTTCTTGGTTCACATTTAAACGCGCGCAAGCTACAAAAATAAGAGTTCCACAAAACGCAAGCATGTAAACAACAAAATACCGCATGCTAACATTGTTAGCTTGCGGAAACGATACTCCGTTCGCTCTGTGCTATCCCGTTTGACGTTTTCCTCTTCAAAATCGTCTCACCGCACGCTTTGGGCCTATGTTTCTTGACCTCGTGTTTTGGGATACATTGCTGTGGAAATAATTTCACTTCATTTTGTTCTTGTGTCCTGTTTGGCAGGAGTTTGTGATGATTGTGGTGTTTGGCCTGGAGTACTTCATCAGGATCTGGGCGGCGGGATGCTGTTGCCGATATCGCGGCTGGCAGGGACGGCTGCGTTTCGCTCGCAAGCCCTTCTGCGTCATCGGTCAGGAGCCCCTCAGAGAATCTTGGGGAAAAAAATCCTCGTTTGGTCGCCCATTTGAATTCCCTCGTCTCTTTTGTGCACTCCTTCCTCGTCAGACTTTATCGTGTTTGTGGCGTCGCTGGCGGTGATCGCAGCGGGCACGCAGGGCAACATCTTCGCTACATCGGCGCTGCGCAGCATGCGCTTCCTGCAGATTCTACGCATGGTGCGCATGGACCGGCGGGGCGGCACGTGGAAGTTGCTGGGATCTGTCGTCTACGCTCACAGCAAGGTGACACGTTCACCGCGGCAATTGCGATTTCCATTCGCATAGGGTGGCACATACATCTGTGGCGTTAATATTTCTGAAATGAGAGATCAGGGTCCCGATCATGAACGCTAATGATACGATAATCGCGTTGTCCGAAATTCCTAATGGCAACGTAATGAGATAAAAGCTCAAGAATTAGCGATGAGCGTCCATTTTGTGATTACCAAGGCCAAAGTCCACTGGAAGGCTCATTTGGCATCCGGGCGTTTGTGCTGAGGAGGAAGAAAAGCGCGGCGGCACGCCTCGGCGTCGGAAAGTGATGAGCGTGGCGTTCCGCCGGCGATGATGGATGGCCGAGCTCACTCACTTCCTGTCGTTCTCGCAGGAGCTGATCACGGCGTGGTACATCGGCTTCCTGGTGCTCATCTTCTCCTCTTTCCTGGTCTACTTGGCCGAGAAGGACAATACTGACTTCAGCAACTATGCAGACTCCCTCTGGTGGGGCATTGTGAGTAGCGTGCCCGCTTTTTTGGAGGCCGATCACGTTATTTGGTACACGTGAGAGGCAACACAAGAGCTGCGTGTGTGTATGTCATATTCCACTAAACGCATAAAAAAAAGAAAAAAAAAAGCGGTTAACCGCACAAGGGTTGAATATATTTAAATTTAATTACCGTGATTTCCGGACTATAAGCCGCGACTTTTGTCACACGCTTTCAACTCTGCGGCTTATTTCATGAAGCGGCTTATATAAAGACTTTTCTAACGGCCGCCTGTGTACCGTCTTTCTTTGTAAATATCTCATGTTACAATATGGGAACCTGCGGCTTATACACAGGGGCGGCCTCTAATCCAGGGCGGGCTACGGTCCAGAAATTACGGTAATTAAAAGTGCATTCAAACAGTAATATTTGTGATTTTATTTTATTTTGGTCGTGTCATGTTTTAAAGCCAAATGTCAATTCTGCTTCTATGATTTCTTGTATTTCTTGTTTTTTGGTGCATTATTTCTTTTTTTTTCTCCCTTGAAAAAAATGAAATAAATTACATAAAACAAAATCTACGTATATATGCACACATAATATTTTTTTATATTATCTGTCATGATAAATATATACAATCACTCTTGTATTTGTTATTTTTTTATGTTATGTATTTTTCAAATAACATGACAATTTTTTTTTTAATGTGCTGTATGTATTTTTTCAGATAACGTTGACCACCATCGGTTACGGCGACAAGATCCCTCGCACTTGGCAGGGTCGTCTGCTGGCAGCTGGTTTTGCTCTCTTGGGCGTCTCCTTCTTTGCCCTGCCTGCTGTCAGTCTGACTCGTGTTATTTGATGGTTACTGTCTTCCTATTTGTCCTCCACCCTATCAATCCTTTCCTTCATTCTTTTTTTTTTTTTTTTTTTAGGGAATTTTGGGCTCAGGCTTTGCCTTGAAGGTTCAGGAGCAGCACCGCCAGAAGCACTTTGAGAAGCGACGCATGCCCGCCGCCAACCTCATCCAGGTACCATCTGCAAAACCCACAACAATGAACTTAGCCCGCTTCACTGTATCGCGTGTTGCGTGTAAATATGTTAACGTGTTTTAACCAGGCCGCGTGGCGTCTCTACTCGACCGACGCCAAGCACTCGTACCTGACGGCCACCTGGTACTTCTACGACAGCATGCTGCCTTCCTTCAGGTAATGCTTGCCACCTGTCCTGGCTGGCTCGCCACTGCCGCTGATCGCGTGTTTTGGACGCGTTTGTTAGACGCACACGTGTAGTAGCGTTAGCCGCCGCGCTCGAAAACACACACACACACACACACACACACACACACACACACACACCCACACACACACACACACACACACACACACACACACACATATATATTCTGGTACATATAGTGTACATATACAGTACATCCCGCCCCTCTGACTTATGCTTTGAATGATCTCCTCCCTCATAACTAAATTATTTCCCGATGACACCACCATTTGATTCTCTATTTGATTTACTTTCTGACATTGTGCTACCCCCCGCCTCCCCCCATTCATTTCAGTAATTTGCTTTAAAGGAGAGGAACCACAGAGAAACACCTAATAAATCTTCACTTGGGACTTCACTTACACTCTAAAAATTGTCCGATCAAAAATAACCCGAACCGGGGCATAAAGACATTTTGTTACTCAATGAACTCAAAAGGTTGGGTCAAACAAACAACCCCCAAAAAATTGGGTTGCTTTGTATCAACCCCCCCCCAAAAAAAAAAAAAAAACAAAAACAGGGTTCCAAAAATGTGATTATTTTGAGGGTGATTCATCTGATCAAAGTTTTGGGGTTCAATCAATAATACAAAATTGGGTATGTATCTTTTTGTATCTTACCCAAATTGGGCTATTTTTACCACTCATGTTTAAAGTGTTGGAAATTATGCAAAAAACAATCTCGTGAGCAAAAATTTAAGTCACAAAAAGTAGTGAGCTTTAAGTAACAGAAATGAGCACAAATTCAGCTAAAACATTCGTGCATGACTGTCGACGCAAAATTAGGTAAAAAAAAAAACGAAACTGAGAAAATAATCAAAATGTGGATTTGGACAACAAAAAAAATGGATTTCAAATTCAGATAACAGCTGTGATTCCAACTTTGCATCACAAAAATGTGTCAATCTAGGTAACGAAAATGCAATGACAACACGACTTTGGATATGAAAATGTAGAGACATTAATTCAGATAACAAAAAGATGGTAGCACGAATTTAGTTAACAAAAAACCTTCAGATTAGGTGACCAATCTCCAGGCAGTTGGTGGGGTACACCCTGAACTGCTTGCCAGCCATTCACAGTTTAGACATAAATTGACATAAAAAGCAGGAGAAATCTTGTGAGCATAAATTTAGTTTAAAAAAGACTTCAACAGATGTAATTTTTTTCATTAACAAGCATGATACTGGGTGACCAAGTGACTCTTTCAGCGAATTTGGATTTTTGAATTACCACACGAGTTAAGATCATGAAAATTTGTGAGCGTGGCTTTTTGCAAACTCAATTTTGAACTGCGTAACCACCATTGAGCATTTTGTGGTTCCACGCTGCATCTTCTCTGTTGTGCATCTCCTTTAGAGCACTGGGACCCTGATTTTGGCCTTTTTGCGTGTTTTGCTTTTGCCTTCTGCATTCCCTGTTGTGTGTGTTTTTTTTTAGTTTTGTTTTTTTGTCATTTTGTTGAATTTGTCATGTATTATGTTTATTTTGTGCACGTGGCCGTCAGAGAACTGACACTACTGTTCAGTCACCTCCAGCGGCAGCGGAATGCCAGCAAGAAGGCGCCGCCGCCGCCATACAGCGCCAACTTCAACCACATGCCGCTGTCAGGGCTGCGGCCCTACAGCGCCCCCTATATGTCGGGGGACAGGTACGCACCTCGCACCACTGCCCACGTGACAGGGACACACACCCACACACACACACACACACACACACACACACACACACACACAGCCGAGCTTGTGTGTTGCCGTGCGTCTAACAGCGAATTAACGCACTAACTGTGTTGTATGCACTGCAAAAACTGAACTCAAAAATTAAAAAAAACATTAAAATGCGAAATATATCAAATGAGGAAAATTTTATTGAAAGCAAAATGATCTGCCAAAAGAACAGTTTGATACTTGTTTTGAGGTTTTATCAGTAGTTGTACAGTAAGTCAGTTCAGGTAAATTGTGATTCTGAATGGGACGTGCAGTAGCATGTTACAGTATTTCGCTTAGTTTGGGAGCGTAGATTTCACTTGGAGGACCACAGTATTGTGTTGGCTCGTTCCCAGTGCCAGGTGGGCATTCGTGGTTTAGAGCCTGTTTGGCAGACAGAAGTTTTTTGTGTGAGCCTTGATTGCTCTGAGTTTCATTCTGCCCCACTGTCATATGGTGTTCCACAGGGTTCAATTTTGGGTCCCTGTGGTTTTCAATGCTGCCCCATTGTAAGAAAACATGGTATTTCCTGGCAGCGAGATCTATGTCCCCGCTGAGCAACAAGGACGTTTTCTCCTTCAGGCCACTTTTGTCATGTGGAATAAAAACAGAAGTTATGGCGTTTGGTCTCAGTGGCCCTTGTACATCCCATCTTGCTGATTTGTGTCCCCTGGTGCTGTATATAAAGCCAATGGTCTTGAACTTTTTATTTCTATATATATATATATTTTTTTTAAATGTCTTTGTTGATTAATGTTAAGGTTGCACTTGTATGCACTTTGTATGCAGTGATGATTGCTGTATAAATATCGCTGAGTTGAGTTGTCTAGGTAGCATTTATAGCTTTGGTGTAGGTAGCATAACATTTCTTTTTGTGCAGGTAGCATATATTGTTCTTTATGTGTCGAGGTGAAAATGTTCTGCTCTTTTGGCAGATAATTTAATTTAAATTAAGTCATATATTGCTTATTTCACGACGTTCTCCCCCTTATTTTTTAAGCCCACTTTTTTTCCTGTGTATAACTCGTACGCTGAAAAAATTGGGCTTGGGGTGAGGAACAAACAAGGAATTTAATTTGAGATCTTCAATCTTGGTTCAGTTGAGGTTTTTGCAGTGACGCCGCATGTCTCCCCATCTTTTTGTGTTCCTCTTCATGATCATCTTCATAATCATTATCCTCACCACTTTTCACTCTTCTTCCCCTTTTTTTCTCTTTGTGGCCACCATCATGACACCCACCCAATTGCACCCCTTCTTGTCCCCGTCCGTCCTCAGGAGGGCCGAAGAGCCGCGCAGGTTTGTGCTTCACGTCCTCAGCTTCAATTTAAGGGCGCCGGGCATTGGCGCGTTTTGATTGCCAAACGTGTTGTTGATGAACTGCAGAAGAATAGTCACGGAAGTTACTGCCGATATGTGGAGGAATTGTTGTTGTTGTTGTTGACTGATGTACACTTGAGGTGCCCTGCATGCTCCACCACCCTCTGCTGGTCCCAAAACTGACGACTCACCAAGCATCTCCATTCTCTAAAAACTGCCGTCGTTGGACAAAACATTAGATACGCCTGGAGAACAGATCCAATGCAAGACTTCAATTAAAGGGGGGGAAAAGACAACTTTTCACCTGTTGGGGGGACAAATAGGAATGAAATTGAATTGCGAACTTTGTATTTGTAAATAATGAAATCAAAACAAACAAAATGAAAATCGAGTTAAATTGCACATTTGAAAAGCAGTCGGAAGAAGTAAAAAGCTGATAAAAATTTAAATCTGTTTGTACAGGGCAGGTGTACCTAATGAAGTGGCTAACCAGTGTACATTTGGCAGTTTTAAGACTATTTGGAATATTGAGACTCCCCCAGTCCCTGACTTGCCACCTCACCTGCCTCCTCCCCACCACACAGCGCCCCCGCACCCCCCCACCCCTACACACCCTCCTCTCCCTCCTCACCCACTCTGCCTTGTGTGTCTCCTCCTCCAGTCAAGTCCTTGCAAAAAAGCGAGGTCTCTTCCGGATTCATGCCGGACGCAAGCAGAGGTATCCGCGCGCGCACCGCCACTTTTGACCTTTTGACCTTTACCCGCCTTGCCTGTTGCACCCTTTTGGCGGACCAGAGCTGTTAGCCGTTTAACGGAGAAAGTCAGACTCCAACGTGGAAATGCTGAGAGAGACTTGTAGTATGACATCATTACATGACAGGATGGTGACAACTTTGCATGTTTTGCAAAAGCAAGTGGCGTAATGGCCGCCCAGTGAAAAGGGGCGTTTTTTTTTTTTTTTTTTTTTGCTTGACTCATATTCCACAAACGCAATATTAATCAGAATGCTGCGTTGATTGACACTAGTGGAGGCGCATAGAACATATTGTAAAGAGAATTTTTTGGGGGGTTCATTTCACCTTTAATGCACACATTTTATTGAAATAAAGTCATATTTTGGACATTAAGTTGCAATAAAAATTCCATATTGTAAGTATGTACACTGATTGCCTCCGGTCCGTAAATGTTCGACTCAACTGAATTATCTTTCACGCGACGAGATGTTTTTGAGCTGACTGCTTGGCGTCAGCTCAGTCTAAATAATAAAGCATCAAAAGCTTCAAACACATAGAACGCATGTGCTGAAGCCGCGGCGGAAGTTGCCAACGTTTTACGAGCGTGACAAGTCCAGCATGTCTAATGGGGAAGCCGGCCTGGCGAATAAATCATTTAGCATGCCTCACTTTTCTTTCTTTATTATTTACCAGCTCTCACGTGCGCTAATGTTTCTCTTTGCATGGACATTTGCCGCTCGAAAAAAAAAAAAAATCATCTCAAGCTTCATCAGGCCCATGTCCACACCAACACGATACAACCAGTGAAGTATTTTTGTTGCAGGTAAATGTACAAATTCCGAATGAAATTGAGACCGTAAAATTCCAAATTAATATTAGCTAAACGCAATCAAACCTATCAGTTTGAACGTTAAATATCTTGTCTTTGAAGTATATTCCATTAAATGTAGGCTGAATATCATTTGCGTGTCATTGGGTTCTGTATTTATGTTTGGCACCACGTTCCCACGCGTGACTCCAAATAAACTTTAGATGTTCTAGTAGGCTTTTCAATTGAGTTGTACGGGTCACGGGGTTACTTTTGAATTTTACGTGAGGAAAAAAAATCAGGAACATTATGACTCAAGAAAGAAAGAAAGAGAAAATGTAAAGATGAAATGGCCACCCAAAAATTTGCAGTGATTTGACCTCAAACGTTTTGTGTGGAAAGAAAAAAAAATTATAAAATTTTGATGTGGAGAGTCATAATTTGAAGATGAAAATTGTAATTTTACGCGAGTCATAATGTAAGTGAAGAAATAGATTTATACTTCGTTTGATGGATAAATCTCATTTAACATGAGTTGGAAAGTAAAAATGTCTTTTTTTAAACATATAAAGTTGTAATAATGGAAGAATGTAGTTTTACACTTAAAAAAAATTGTTGAAGGGAAAATTTACATTTTATGTTAACCCTTTCAGGGACAGCGGTTACTACAGTGGACGGCTAATCATGAAATCATGGTGCATGAAAGGGTTAAAGACAAAACATAAAGGCAAGTTGTAATGTTATGTGGAAAAAGTGATGATGAAAAAAATAATTTTAGGTTAAAATGCATCATAGTGTGAGCGAAAAAAAAACCCTACATTTTGTAGTTTAAAAAAAAAGGAATTAAATGTTTTAAAATATATTTTAATCAAGTGGTCATATGCAATATACAAGTTTAAAAATATATTTAATTTTATTTTGACATGAAAAAAGTGACAAATTATTTTTTTTTCATATCACACAAAGCAAACATTTGAACTGGGCTGTGCAGACTTTTTTTTTTTTTTTTTAAAAGGAGTACCTGCATTTGTGTGGCTATGTTGGGAATCTTGACTGACTTTCACAGCCTCTTCAAGACAATCACACACACACACACACACACACACACACACACACACACACACACACACACACACACACACACACATGTCATGGTTTCATCCAGTAAAATGCGTGCATCTGCGAAAATGTATGTTGCAAGTGGACGGTTGCGTGATGGCACTTTTGGAATGTCACGAGCTTGCGTTTTTGTTGAATTTTTTTTTCCAAAGCGTCTATTTATGCGTATTCATTTTTGTGTATGCACTTTGAAGTCGATTTGAATGCTTAATCCCTCCTGCCGTGCGATTAAGAGAGGGTGTCTTTTATTCTGACGGCATTTTCCAGCATCTGCCGAGTCATGCTGAGATCAATCGGGCATGGTTCCTGTTGCTGTGGCGACACTTTTTTTTTTTTTTGTGGATGATGTCTGTTAGCGTGTTCGGTGCTTCACTGCTTGGCTACGTTCCCATCATTCCCAGTTTATATAGAACACTTTTACTTTATTTGAAGACAATTTTGTCTAATTATATAATCCAATTACAGTGGTACCTCGGCTTACGAAATTAATTGGTTCTGCAAGAAATTTCTTAACTAGAAAAGTTTGTAAGTAGAGACGCGTTTTCCATGTAAATGCCCTAATTTGTTCCCAGCCCCCCCAAAATTCAGATATAAATGTTTTCTAAAGCATACAAATGCATCAAAATATGTAACAATTACATTATTGCACAATAAATGACAGTTGTGCATACTGTAAAAAAACAAAGAATAGAGTCAAGAATAAAAATGATGGTCGTTTAAGTTTTTACTGCGTTTTCGTTTTTTGCCCTCTTCATGTTCTCTCTCAGAAGTGTTTTTTGCCTGTCGTTTTGTAAAGAACTGATCCAAGGACGTTTGCTTTTGTCGGCTTATATCAATCCTTTGAAAATGTCCAAGGCAAACATCATCATAGTGAGCGATTGCCCGACTGGTGAACACTTTTTCTGGGTGATTCTGGGGACATTTACGTAAAACTATCGGAATGTCTCAGGGCCTGAGGGGCGAATGACAGCGACGCTGCATCGACACATATCTATCTATCTACACACACAGACTCATACGGAAGAAGTCCCTCTTAGCCAATGGGATGCCAGGATGATGCTCAGTAATAGCCAATGGCAGAGCAGCTATAAGTATGTTGCGTTCAGGAAATTCGGAGCTGCGACTAGTAGCCTATACTGTACTGTATTTTTACCTTTCGTATCTTGAAATTTCTTTCGTAACAAGAGGCAATATTTTCCTGGTGAGGCGTTTCGTAACTTGAAAATTTCGTACGAAGAGACGTTCGTAAGTAGAGGTACGACTGGATTTAGAAATTTGAAGTCATCTGTATTTGTGTGCTTTTTAAGCAATACTTTTATTGATAAATATTCTTCATGACAATATTCTGACCTTATTGTTGTTGACATGGAAAGTATTTCACCCTTTTAGGGACAGCGGTTACTGCAGTGCACAGCTTACCGTGTTATCTGGTTACAGGGGGCATGAATGGGTTTAGCACATCAGCTGATTTTTAACAGTGATATCTTGAGAGTTTTAATGAATGATTACGCAATGGTATTATTGGTCGCATTAAGCATTTCCTGTTTGTAAGCCAACTTGCATCCTTGTTATTTGCAGCATGGACCTACCGATCCCGAAAGGTGGTGGGGGTCGTGGGG